TTTTTTCCCTTGGATGTTTATTGCAGCAAGAGAAAAAACACCAATCTTCTCCTGTACTAGCATGACTCTGTCTCTTATGCTCTGCACTTCATCTCCCCAGTCTTTCTGGTATTTTCGCCTGGCTTTATGAAACAGACCATGTTGGAAGTCACTTTTCCATCAGACTGTCTGGACATGTGCAGTTTCCATTCTTCTCCAGATTCCCCTCCCCTCACTCTTTGATCATTCAGATACCTCTCACCTGCACAGTTGGTTCTCAGAACTTGAGGAATCTTCAAGATTGCCCATATTTCACTTTCCTATCTCATCAACCCTACAACCAACTCTGTAATTGCATTTCTACTCATCATTTCCTATCTATGTCAAACATTTCTTGTATAGTCATCCCTTGTGGAAGGTGCACCTCATTGGAGGCAACTTGGATTTGGCTCACTGTTCAGGACATTGGAGTTTGCTTGTTTGTGGTTAAATGTTAATAACAACATCCAAAACTGCCTGTGTGCAGCCAGTTGTCTGAGGAAAGGAGGTGGGACTTGGTGAAAAGATGCTGTAACACCCTTCTGTGGACTTCAGTGGAGAAGTCTGGTGTGAGGAAAAGTGATGCAAGTCCCAGGTGGCTGATGAGAGAAGTGGTGGGGATGGAGAGCTGAGCAGCAAGGTTGTCCATACAGTCTAGGACTTCAAGGGACTGCTTTTCCACCCATACAGACCTCCTTAGGAGACACTTTGGATCTATGACAACTAGAGAATGATGCTATCAGTTCTTCTGAAAACTCTAAACTAATGGAAAATAATCTTAAATAAGGAAAATGCTCTTAGAAATCTGGTCATTGAATACTTTCTCTTTAAACTGCATTCTTGAAATCTCACTAATTAACTGTACAAGTCTGGGAGACTGGATGAAAATGGCTGAATTGTAATGAGCCCCATGGTGCATTTGGTGCTTAGTTCATAAACTTCAGGTAGTGAGAAGAGAATGATGTAACTGCAGGAGAAGTTAAAGTCAGGAGACTTTGAAGTGTCTAGGAGCATTAATGGGCCCCAGTGAGGGTCATTACTGACAAAGCCTCCCCATGGACTTGTTAGAACAGACAATTGGAGGCCATGATTGCAGGTAGGCAAAGGCACTGGGCAGGAGACTCTGATGCTGAGTAAAGGCCTTGGTCTGTTTGGTGAAGCAGAAAGGCCAAGTCCTGGCCCCAGCCCCTGGGCAGGGAGGTCCTGTTCCTCACCTATGGCTCACGGCTCTTCCTGGGGCAGTGGGATGTGGGGTGTGTGATGCTGTGTGAAGGACAATGCTATGACATCTGCTGGACTCTCCACTGGGTTGCAAGGAGGCAACAAGGCCCCATTGTCATGAGCACAGCATGTGTTCTCATGAGCCTCAGTAGCAGAGACAACTGCCATAGCCAGGGGGACAAAAACCTTGGTGCTGCTGGGGCCTTGCAGCCTTGTCAGTGCACTCGGTCTTCATCACCACAGGCTGTCCTGCACTGTCCAATTCTTGCCCTTTTCTCCCTGCAGGCTACAGGCATGCACTTCACTTTTCCACTTTGCTCTCACCCTGTCATTTCCTTACTTTCACTGAGGTCTCCCCACCCTCCCTGGCTGTCCTTTGAAACACAGTGGCATGGGCTGACCATAGACTCCTTCTGGGTGATGTCAGGTCCCACAGCACTACCCTTTCAGTGACATTTCCTCCTCCTCATTCCCACTCTTCACCTGCCAAGCAGCACTTTGTCCCACTTGTGACTCTCTCCTGCTATTTCCCACCACCAGAGAATCCTCACCAGGATCTTCCAAGACACATGCCTCCTGCTGGCCTTCCAGTTTCTCAGGTAGACGTAACCAAGTTGTGTGCCCATTCCTGTCCCACCATGTGCTCAGGCAGAAGGGATGTGAAAACCCACAGCCAAGGCCTCTTCCTGCATGGGGCCTGTCAGGCTCTCAGACAGAGGGCATCTCACAGTCAGTGTGCCAAGCAGGTGCCTTCTGCTGCCTTATCAAGGATGCTGGCGGGTGTGAGCTGAAAAGCACAGATGTTAGCCAGGAGGCAAGGGCTGACACAGCAGATGCTTCAGGAAGCAGTCACCTCATAGGCCCTTTCCCCAGCCCTGTTACTCCTGCTGGCCTGTCAGCTCCAGAGATTGACCTGACCAGAGGCTTCCTACTCGTTGTTAAGTTTCTGAGGCACCAGAAACCTCAACTTATTCACCCGGCACCGTCATTGTGTGCCAGGGCCTGGAGAGATAAAAAAAAAAAAAGTAAATTATCAAGTAAATTTTCTACCCTTAGTTTATAAAGTAAATTTTCTACTACTGCTTCAAATATGGGATCATTCTTTGCAGGATCTACTGTGGTCATAGGAATGCAAGATGTATCTCTGCCTCTACCTCTCTCTCTTTTCCTCTTCCTCTGCCTGCTATGTCTTCAGAGAGCTCTCTGAAAGACAGGTCATTCACAGAATCACAGAACTATAGGGGCTGGAAGGGACCTCAAGAGATCATCGTGTTCAATCCCCCTGCCAAAGCAGGTTCCCCAGAGCAGGTTGCCCAGGTAGGTGTCCAGACAGGCCTTGAGTATCTCCAGAGAAGGAGACTCCACAACCTCCCTGGGCAGCCTACTCCAGCACCACAGATATCTACCAATCCCCACCAGAAACAAGTGGTGACACAGTGTCGTATCTGTCACAATAAACAAATAAATGTTCCAAGAGACCTCTGATTTTTATCTTCTTCAACTCTTCTGATCAAGGTAGACTAAATAGATAAGATTGATCAAGGGCTCCTCTGAGCTTGACACCATCCAGAAAAGATATGAAAGTGTGCTCCATCCGGTAATTCAGAGAGTCAATAATGACATTCGGCAGAGCTGCCCCAAGTGCTGATCGCTGAGGGATGATGCTAAGAACTGACTGACAGCACTATGTGTCATGGATGATATCTAGGCCTGATTGTCCAGCAAACAGGCACACCCACGGCCTCACCAATTTGTTAAATACACATAGCACCATTCTGGCTATAAGAATTCTTTGAGACAAAGCCAAAGGCCTTGCTAAAGACAGGTAGGCACCTTCTCTTCTCTTTGCTTCCCTTTCCTTCCCCTCCCCTATAGGTTCATCAATTCTATTTTTTTTCCTTCAAGTGCCTGGAGGTGGCTGTGGAAAAGCTTGCGAGCACAGTGACCAGGCACCCCGGGGAGGATTTTGGGTGTTTGCAGCCTCTCTGCCTTGGGAGAGCCTGAATCTGCTGACCCTGCACGTCATGACCAGGATTTAGACCAGGCTGTTGTCTGTGCAAGCAGGGACTGCAAAAGCAATTCAGAGAGCAGCAGGGGAGACAGGGAGGAGGAAGATTTGGGGGAATGGACTAGATGATCTTTCAAGGTCCCTTCCAATCCCTAACGTTCTGTGATTCTGTGATTCTGTGATCACCTTCACAGGGACTGAGATGAGGCTCACCAGCCTTCATTCTCCCAACCCTCCACAGCATGAGGAATGGACACTGGCTGAGGGCATTTGTGCAGCCTCAGGTTCACCTCAACACATGCACACTGTGCATGCTGAAGCCTCAACTGTATCAGGCACATCTGGACTTCTGACTGAGCCATTCTGTGTCCCACTGCGGAGGAACAAACCACCTCTCTGAGCTGGGCTGAGAGCCCTGGTCCTGGAGCTCCTCAGGCAGCTCCTGCTGCTGCTGAGCCCTGGCAGCCTGCCCCAAGCTGCAGAAGTACCCAGGGGTTTCTCTTTCCAGGGATCCCCTGCACACACACGGGGCCCCACTCTCCTCCCAGGACTTCCCACATCAACAGAGAGCCTTTCCCAGGAAGGAGCATGCCTGTGCTGGCCTGGCCAGCCATTCCTTCACCCTCTCCCCATGCTCCCTACAGCCCCAGTAGGTAGTACTGCTTTGCAGAGCAAGGGGCCTGTGGTGTCCAGGACACAGGGGCACTCTGCAGGGCTGTGCTGGGCAGGCTGGGAGGCAGAGACAGCTCATAGGGCTCTTCCACTGACTGCCTCCCACACCAGCTCTTCTGTGGCTGTCGAGGGTGCTCAGAGGTAGCCTGCCTTCTTTCCGGTGCCATGAGAAGTGTTTGGGTGCTGCACTATATCCACGCTATAGCATTTCAGTAGGGGTAAAACCACTCACCAGACTTCTTTCCCTGTCCCCTCTGTGTCCCCTGGGTTGCAGGACTCTCCTTTGCCTGCTCACACCCCAATTTAGCATTTTATGTTGCAGGGACTCCACTTGGCACAGGCTCATGCTCTGTGGGCTCCATTCTCTGATGATCCCCTGGGACATGCTTTCCCTGCAGCTCCCCTAGGCTCTCCTGGCAGCTCCTGATTCCTTCCAAAAAATGCTCACCTGCCACCAGTCCCAGCACATGCTGCAGTGCCCCAGGCAGGTTAATTGGAGACTCCTCACCATCTGCCTGAGTGCTGGACACCAACAAGCAACACCTGAGTGAGTCCCCATGCCCTCAAACACCCAGCTGGGGCTCTGATCACTTCACCCTGAGCCCATGGAGAAACAGGCAAAGCCAGGTCCCCCTTTAGAATCCATTTCTGGACTGCAATGTTCTTGACAGAAACTGTGAAGGAAGACTTGAACCCTAGGCGCTACCCTGAGCTGAATCACATTATGGGATGGAAATGTTGTTCTGGAGGCCAGCTGTGTCACAGAAATGCCCGTTGTCTGTCCATGGGATTGGTCACAGGGTTGCCACACAGCAGTACTGTGACCAAGCTGCAGGAACAATCAGGCTTATGCCAACAGAAAAGGCTCAGAAGGAGAGTGTGGAAATGGGATGAAAGTAGCTCTGGAAAGAAAAAACCCTGCTGCTTCCTGGTAGTGCTGCTATGGTGGGTCTCTATATTCCTCTTCATTTCCACCCATGGGCATTACCATGGAACCCCCAGCAAAGTTCTCAGAAAAAGAATCTCAGATACACTCTTCACTGCAGGTTCCTTTATTTTGTTTAAATATGTGAGTAGGATCAATAATGACAATTTATATGGAAAACATTGTTGCCCTCATTAATAACAAACAAAACCCACCAAAGAACAAACGACAAGCTTGGCATATCATGAGTTATATTATGAGTGCTTTGCAGAAGACAGGCAGTGCATTACTTCTGATGTACACCCACTCATGACTTTGCGCAGTGCATCCTTGAGCTCCTGGTTTCTCATGCTGTAGATAAGGGGGTTCACTGCTGGAGGAACCACCGAGTACAGAACTGCCACCACCAGATCCAGGGATGGAGAGGAGAGCGAGGGGGGCTTCAGGTAGGCAAAAAAGGCAGTGCTGAGAAAGAGGGAGACCACAGACAGGTGAGGGAGGCACGTGGAAAAGGCTTTGTGCTGCCCCTGCTTAGAGCGCATCCTCAGCACAGCCCTGAAGATCTGCACATAGGACAGTACGATGAATACAAAACACCCCCAAAACACAAAAACACTAAATGTGAGAAGCCCAATTTCCCTTAGGTAGGAGTCTGAGCAACAGAGCTTGAGGATCTGGGGGATTTCACAGAAGAACTGGTCCAGAGTATTTCCTCTGCAGAGGGTTAGTGAAAATGTACTGGCAGTGTGTAGCAGAGCATTGAGAACCTCACTGCCCCAGGCAGCTGCTGCCATCTGGGCACAAGCTCTGCTGCCCAGGAGGCTCCCGTAGTGCAGGGGCTTGCAGATGGCAACGTAGCGGTCATAGGCAATGATGGTGAGAAGAAAATACTCTGCTGAAAAGAAAAAGAAGAAGAAAAAGACCTGTGCAGCACATCCTGCGTGGGAGATGGCCCTGGTGTCCCAGATGGAATTGGCCATGGCTTTGGGGACAGTGGTGGAGATGCAGCCCAGATCGAGGAGGGCAAGGTTGAGGAGGAAGAAGTACATTGGGGTGTGGAGGCGGTGGTCGCAGGCTATGGTGGTGAGGATGAGGCCGTTGCCCAGGAGGGCAGCCAGGTAGATGCCCAGGAAGAACGCGAAGTGCAGGAGCTGCAGCTCCTGTGTGTCTGCGAATGGCAGGAGGAGGAACACAGTGATGGAGCTTCTGTTGGACATCTCATCCTCCTGAATAAACGGGATTACCCAAGGAAGAAAAGACAAGGAGATATTAAGACAGACTTTAGAGGACACATTCCTGCTCACACTGGACTCATGGAGCTTTCTGATAATCTCCTCTATGTGAAAGGAGATATTTTCAGTGGTTGGGTCCCTGCATTGCATGAGTGGCATTACGTCCACTGAGGGTTTTCCCTATTTACCACCATGAGAGATGATGGCATATTGGCCATCAGCCTGTGTAAGGGAAGAAAGACAGATTCATCGCATCCTCTTTACCCTTCTTCACAGGTGATATCAGAATCAGAAACAAACTCACAAAGGCACAATTGGCCCACTCATCTGCATACCTCTTTGTTTTGATAAGGTACACTCTGTCTTCACATCAGTTTCTCTTTATTACACCCTTTATCCAGGTACTGTATGGGTAATGGAATTTTAAATACTTGGAAGTACCCTTAGATGAAAGTAAAACTTCACACGCTGCTCTCCGCAAGACAAGGTGCAACAGAAGTGTCTGCTTCTGTACCTTTTTAGGATTTAGATTCCCCTGTAGCTTCTGGGAAACAGTAAAAACCTTTTTCTGTTGTTCTCAGTGTCAACACAAGCCAGTGCTTGGAGGCAAAATGCTCAGCTGGAGGGTGACTGCCCCCACAGGTTGCTCTGAAAAAGAGCCCGGACTGTGCTGAGTGTGAATGCACAACTCCTCTCCTTCCCTGCCCAGCTATGGGGAGAAGGAGGAGAGGGACAGGACGAGGCTCCTGATTCATGTGGCTGAAATAAAGGCTCTGAGAAATGCAAAAGGGCACAAAGAAGCTGTGCCCTTCTTCGGGTTTGTAGCAACTTTCCAGGGATATCTTCATAGCACTAACTTCAAGCTGACATCTCCTCAGGAGAGTGACTTCATTGCCCAAAATGAAACGACTGCATTGCACAGAACTTGAAATGTTCAAAGGGGACTTGGGCACCTGTGTCCAAGGAAAACACCTCCGGGACAGGGGCAGTGCCAGAACAGGAGCTTAACATCCCCCATCAGCACTGTTATTGCCAGAAAGTGCCACAGCGAGAACAGGAGCGGTGCACACAAATGCAAAAAGAAGGAAATGTACCGTCTTCCTCCTGCTGAGAGGAGACAGCCAGACACTCAAGAAAGCCTTCTCCCTCTGCAGCTGTTCACGCCACCCCCAGACAGCAAAGTCACAGGGCTGTAACTCCGAGCCTCTTTGATCCACAGAGTGAAACCAGCCCATGTCAGGGGAGATGGAGCTTAGCTCTGCGGGAGCTGTGGCTGTAGAGGAGGCAGCTCATGGCCTGGGCCCCACGGCCTTGAAGGCAGAGGCTCTGCTTGGGGGGAGAGGAGAATGAGGGGGCTTGCTCAGAGGACAGCATCTGCATGGGAGGGACAGACAGGGAGCAGCCAAAGTTCACCCACCACAGCATTTCTGTTACAAGATCCCTCTCCTTCTCTGCCAGTGTCTCTGCTGCCCGCAGCTGTCCCTTCCAGTAGCTGCTTCCCACATCTCCTTCTTGTCATCACTCACAGACCCCAGCCCAGCCCCTGTTCGCACAGTTTTGCCCTGCAGATACCCCCTGGCAGCAGGGGAGTGAACAAAAGCATCTCCCTGCTTGCAGGTGCACAAGAGCAGCTCAGACAAACCCAGATGTGTCCAGCAAAGGTGATGCTTGTGAGGTCTTTAGGCAGCGCAGTGCGTAGTAGACCATTATGTGGTACCTGGCAGATGTGCTGATTTCTCCTGATGAGGATCTTAGTGCTGTATTTACACCTGACAGTGCCAGTTCATTTTCCCTTCGGAGGCAACAAAAACCACTGACTTTAGAGGGTCCTCATCTGAAAGCTGTCATCCCTTGCCTGTATTCTTAGTAACACCCTCTTGGAAGTCTCCTTGGTGTGCTGTGGATGTGTAAGCAGCATGCCGAAAGGAGCAGCCTCCTGCCAGCAGCAGGACCCTGCCCTGCCGGGGGGGCTCCTTCCACCCCACAGCTTCTCCCCGCAGCGCCCTGGGCAGCTCCCCGGGCAGGCTGAGTGCTGAGTCTGGCAGGCGGCAGAGGCCCTGCCCCGGCACACAGCCCCTGGGGCACAGCAGGGACCCTGCTCTGCACCACAGCCCTGGACACCCCTGCCTGCACCCCCAGCTTCACAGCCTACAGCTGGCCTGCGACAAGGGAGGCCTTGGGGCCTGGACAATGACCGTATGTCAGGGAACCTCTGCTCTGGAGCATGTCCTTCTCTACAAGAAATAAACACACTCTGCCTACAGCCTCATCTGTTCTGGAACAATCCAGGTCTAGGGCACATCCAGGATACTCCAGTGCATTGCAATGCACTTAGACTTACCGTGTTAAGGGTTGTAAGCATTGCTTTTCCATATACTCTCAGATTTCTAACACTCCACACAGTCTTTAACAACTCTCCCTTCTGTCCCCTCCCAGTGCCAGCTGCAGGCAGTGCCCCCAGCCCTGCTGCGCTGTGCACAGGAGCTGCTCCTGGGCAGAGCTGTCTCTCTGCAGCGCTGCCCGCTTGCCAGGAGCTCCCCTTGGGCCCAGGAGCCCGGCCCAGCTCAGCAGCAGAGGCCCAGCCCAAGGCCTCGCTGAGCTGGGGCAGGCATGGGTTCCCCTACTCAACATGGCACAACACTTCTTCACACCAGTGTCATTTCTCCTTACAGAAAACCAATTAAGTGTAACAATCACATCTTCTTGTCCCAGTATTACTTTGGCATGAAGTCATGGTCAGGGACTGATCTCCTTCATCCCCACTTAAGGAAAGAATTCAGCAGGCAGTCAAGGCATCTCATGCTGGTTGTTCTTCCTGGGGCTGGAAAGGGATCTCAGCTCCCTCCCATATCTGCCACAGACCCACAGGAGCTGGGATTCCTCAGGCCTCAGTTCAGGTGTCCACAACATAGGCACTTTCCTGTGAATTACTGAGCCACAATAGCTCCTTAGTGGAGATGGAGGACAGGCAGGAGCTGTTCAGAGGCTGTCAGCAGAGCAAAAGGAGTCATGTGTCACAGGGAGGGCTAAACCTATACTGTTCTCTTTTAAATCTTCTCTTTTTCCTTTCTTTTCTACACGACCCTTGGCTGTAATGGCTGTTGTGTCTCAGACATCTCCACAGGGCCTCAGCTTTCACCAGCAAGGTCTCCCTGCTCTTTGTGCCTTGAGGCAGGACTCTGCAGGGCTACAACAGGTGGTGGGTGGGGAAAAAATCCGTGGTTACTTTGCAAATGACACCCTTAACAGTCCATGGGACCTAGGGGCCTGCATCCAAGGGTACAAGGAGAGTGTTCTGGCCTGGAGGTACATGGCTCCTTATGATCACAGGAAGGGATCAGAGAGCAGCATTCAGGTGCTGTAAGAGATCGTTTAAATGCTCTTAGAGCTAGGACTATGAGAGAAGACTATAGATGATCTATTGAATTTGGTGTGACTTTATTCTAGACACAATACTCCACCGTTAGTCTCAGATCTCCATGACATGTATGTACTGACCCTATGGGATTTTTAAAGGTGAACAAATTTTGCTGATCAGTCCTTGGCTCTCCAGTTAATGAATCAGCATATATATGGGAATCAGGGAATCTTGGGTGGTACCATATTGCCACTGGTGCACCATTTGGGTAATTACTGGCACTTTGACCCTCAGCAACCCCACAATTGAAGGATCCTTTGAGGCACCGGGCAAGGTAGGAAACTGTTGAATGTGCATAAATCACCATAAATCACCTCCAGCATGGCCAATTGCCATCAGATACTGGGCTGCGTCTCTCCCTGGTGGTCCATTTGCCTGGGTGAGCATACAACATCTTCCTTGAAGGGATACCTTTCCTTTACACGTGACAGGAGTTACCTCAAGAGAGGGAGGATTTGTGCCCCCTTTGCAATTGCTTTGTCAATGCCCCCTTCCCTGGAGAGGAATCCCAGCTGCTTGGCTTCCCTGCCCTCTAATTCCAGGCTACCGGCCCTGTTATCCCAGTATCGGAGCAGCCAGGTGACAATGTGCTGGCCTAGATAATGGCTGAAATCTAATCACACATCTGACAGCTCCCCAAGGAATGGTGATCAGGAGCTTACTGCTCCTTTTATGTTATCTCTGTCTTCATCCACCTTTTCCTGTGATGGCTCTACTTGGGAGGAGCATGCCTTGTCTTTTTCTTCCTCCTCCCCTGTATGAGTAGGAGCTTCTTTCCTAGCTAAACAAGCTGATTTTGTCTCTCCTGTTTCTTCTCATATGTATGTATGAGTGATTGAGGCACAGGTTGCTTCTCTGGCCCAGTCGCAGGGATTGGAGTTGTGTAGATTGCAACTCAGTAAGCATAGGCCAAGCCCCAGCACATTGCAGTGATTTGGAATCGCCAGGGTGATGACACTCCTTTTTCAAAAATTCTGTCTTTTTATTTATTTATTTATTTATTTATTTATTTATTTTATTTTTTATTTTTATGATTCTGCACTTCTTCAGGTGTGAAGTTAGGAAGCATTGGAGGTGCCCACAGTTCTAGGTGCCTGCCCATATCCTTCCACACACCCTGCCCCTCATAATTATCCTGCCTCAGGGCAGATCATTGTGTGGCATTCTGAAATAGTTTACTCTGACCTTAAACAAAACCTGAAACACATTCAGGACA